CAGCACGTCCTCCCCTCGCTCGGCACAGCTGGAGGAGGCGGGAGCTGCTTCAGCAACGCTCAGGCAAGAGGGAGCCGGCTCCTTCCTCTCCGCCATTCCGCAACACTCCAAGGCATGAACATGGATGGGAAGGGACAAAGGAGAGAGGAGAGGGGAGCCCCGGGCCGCCAGGAAGCCTGAAGCTGCCTGGCTCTCAGCTGGGAGAGGGGGAAGTTCACAAACTGGCCTTGATTTCCGAGTGACGCCCTCCAGCATGAACTGAAGCCCGCAGTTTCAGCACATCCATTGCCCGCAATGGACACAGCACTGGAACACCCTGTTCTTAGGCAAGAGGGACAGGCAGCAGTCTTATCCTTCAAAGTGCTGGGAAGAAGCAGACTTTTACTCTTCATTCCCTCTGCCAACGAGGGAAAAACCTTTCCACATCGGCTACGTCTTCGCCCAGGCCTTTGGGCAGGGAAGTACTGGTGCTAGCTGCAGTCACACATCCCCACAAAGGAACCCGAGTCAGTGGAACAACTTCCCAAAACGTCACCATACAAACGTGGAGCAGTTCATCCTCCAGGTCTCCTACTGCCAAAATCGTTTCCCACCGCAGCAGCAGGCCGTTGGGAACAAAGAGATCAGCTGGGGTGAGGCGTGGGAAGAACACCACCACTGAAATCAGGCACAGAACCCCGAGAGCAGTGCTGACAGCCTGCGCTCGATGCACAGCTTACCTGGGAGAGGAAAAAAAGACACCACACAAAACCAACAAAAGAAATCAGCTTTTTTCTGGCAATATAAAGACTACCAAACCATGCTGGAGATATTGGGGGGGGGGGAGGCAGAACATCAGCAAACCCAAGAGCCCTTTGAGAATCATTACCAGGTTGTGGTTTGGATTAGGTGAGGACCTGACCACAAACACCATGATGGGAAGGCACAGGTCGAAGAGTTGAGTAATCAAAGATCCCACAACAAAAGCCGGGATGCAGAAGTTCCGATAGAGGTATCAAGACATTATAAAGAACCACCATCCACCAGGAAAAATTTATTCACTTTTACTTATTGCAGTGGCTATTACCAGCAGGGAAGAAGACTCAAGGTCTCCAATGCCATTTGTCCTGGCTTACAACTGAGAGACTGAGCCTAACCCAGCACGTCAGTGCCAGATTCTCACTGTCTGAGCCCAACGGTCTCTCAAAAGCTAAATGTTTGGTGGAATTCATTCCGTTCACAGGAAACTTGCTGTGTTTCTACGTTCATCATTTTACTTTTCCAAAATAAGTAGCCATGTACCTGAGATCTAAAATGAAAGGCATACCCACTACAGCCTGCCAGAGAACAGCTCAATCAGAAAGCTGGAACACAGGGTAAACCAGGGAATACCAGGATACCGACTGGGCAAAGAAATCTATTAGATGCATTAACTGTATCTCTGGACAAAAGACGTGATTTAGGTTTGGTAAGAAACGATACCACAGAAACTACTTGGTATTCCCTATTCACTTAGCCTCCAGCACCACACACCACCTGCCAATCTCCCTTTGCTCCCCTTCAGTGAGCCTCATGTCAACTGTGAAAGTTGGTGATAATTAACTGACTGATTGCCTGGGAGCCAGAAATCTCTCCTCTCATTACCTATCTGAGAGCTCTGCCTACACAGAGGACCAGAGCAGCCTGGCAGCACGCTGGGCACCGGCCCAGCGCAAAAAAAAACGGCCCCCCGGGGCCGCCTGTCCCTTCAGCCCTACCGACGCCGCGGGGACTGCGGCGATGGGCTGGCTCAGCTGGGCGGGGCAGAGCCAAGGCCAAGTCAAGCCGCTCGAGCAGACGATGGCTCTTGCCCACCCATCCCCTCTGCCTGCCTCCTGCGGAGGGGAATGGCAGAGGTGACTGAAACTCAGCCGTCCGGGCAGGGAAAGCGCGCTCAGAGCAAGCGAGGTCAGTCCTGTCCACTCCCCACGGAGTGCGGAGCTGCAGAGCCTGCAGCAGCAGAGAGTAACACCCCTCAGGACAAAGGAGGAGCACGAGAGAGGGGGTGGCTCGGAGCAGCAGGCAGAGGGGTCCATCTGTCCCCGGGAGAAGAAGCCAAATGATTGCGAGTAGGTACGAGTTCAGCTTTCACTGCTACAGCAAGCGCTTGCTGATGAGAAAACTATTTGTCTGCTGCCAGGCCTGGGGAACCAGAGGCGAGCCGTCCTGCTTCACAGGACGTGTTGGAAGGAGCCCTCGCTGTGCTGATCGGCCGTCTCTGCCCAACAGCCGCTGCAGTTTCATGTTCCCAAGTGCTCCGTGCAATCAGAGGGATGATTCTGGCTAGAAACCAAACCCAGGCCCCTGCTGCGGCCAAACCACTTCCTTCAGCGAGTTCTTTCACACATCAAAAGCTCCAACAAAGCCCTGGCAATCGCCTTGCATGGGAAGCTCTCAAAAATATGGCTCAGAACAGTGACCTGCATTTCTAACAGTTTTCCTGCTGGGAAAGCAGGAGTCTGGGCTGCAAGGAGCTCTATCAAGCCAAGAGATCTCTGCTATGTCCACCAAGACGTAACTGAAGGAAAAAAAAAGGTGCTGGGTAGTGAAATTTCTGATGCCCGTGGCTAGAAAAACACACGTTCTAGTGAGAAAGAAAAGAAGGTCACTGCACACTCACATTTATTGATGTTTTCTATGTCCCCCTGTTCAGTGATGATGTTCAGGAGCCCCTCCATCAGCAGCAGAGCCTTGTGGTACCTCTGTGCGCAGTCCTCTCTGTGGTGGAACATCTCATCCAGGGCTGCAGACTGCACCTGCAGGCAACAACCCCACGCCAAGAGGTTATTCTCAGACCAGGCCCAGCTTCCCCAGCACGGCCCCTCAGCTGCGTGACCAGCCCCCTCGCCCAGCCTCCAGGGGCTGCACACAGCCTTACGAGTAAAACCATCTGCTGGGGCCACCCCGAGGAACATCAACGCCCGACGCTCGCTCTGTGCTAACTCTCCTCCCAGGCACCGTGTGGGCATTACCATTTGCACAGCATAGCTGAAGATGAGCTTCTCGGCGGTGATGCTGTTGATCCGATCCATGAGTTTCTGTTTGTCCAAGAAGAACCTCTGGAGTCTCATGTTGAGGCAGTGGCAGGATGATACACTGGATTTATAAAGCTCATTCAGCTTCTTCACGACTAGAGTAAACGAAAGAAATGCTTTAGATGCTACTTCAGTTCTCCCTGTGCCTCCCAACCTCCATGCACAGGACCCCAGATGAGTAACTTCAAGACAACGGGGTTATGTTAGAGCCAAAAGACTGGCAGGGAAGTACTTGCTGCACCAACAGCGTCTTTTTCCTTTCCTCTGTCACCTTCACTGGTTATAAGCCTGCACGTGGCAAAGCCTACACATAGGCCTAGTCCACCTGAGGCCAGGTCTAATTTTGTTTCCTCTAGCTGCCACAAGGCAGAGAGCAGTTTACACCACGCAAGATGTCTCACACAGCACCAGAAGCAACAGACGTGCCAGGTACAAAGCTTCTGCTACTTGAGGGGTGACGACATGCTGTGAAGGAGGACGTGACTTGCATGGGGCAGCTGCTGGAGCTGAGTGCGGGCGAGCAGCTCTGACTCAGCAAGGGAATCTCTCTCGGGACTCTGCTGCCGCAGAAAGAAAAGTCACTGATGCCTGTGAAAGGCCACCTCCTTTCCTGAACCACGGGAAGGTTATGGGACAGAGAATCGGGAATCAAGTATGATTCTGAGGGATTAAATAACCACCCAGAACAGCAAGCGATGCCACAGGCTTGACTCTCCCTAGCTGCACGGCATGATCTGCACAAAGTACCGAATACAAACTCCCACCAACAGCCGATCAGTCTTAACTGCTACACGTGCATTTGAAAGTCCCCACGCTGCACAACTTGCTCCTGGGGGAGGCAAATTAACCCACACGATGAACCAGCCTCTCTCAGCTATGATGCAGAGGGGCAACCTCACACCACAGCCAGGCCCTGCGACTAAACCTAGCCTTCGAGCCAGAGAGGAGAGAGCAGGGAGCCGGAGAAGAGACTGTCTCCAGGAAGGCAGGCTGCTCTAATGCTTCATCAGAGAAAAAGACCGAGGCACAAAACCAGAGCCCTGCCAGAGTCAGGCTGTCAGATCACCCTTGCTCAGAAGGAACTTGAGAGGCACTGGGAACCCCACAGCTCACGGGTCACATCAGGGAGGCAAAATGAAAAACTCCATGAAAAGAGTCAAGAGAGACTATTTAAAAACCCAAATCAACAGAAAATACAGCACTATCCTCCTCCACAGAATTCAATCAGAGCTCTAAGCTGTGCCCAAATTAGCAGGAAAAAGAGGATGGCTGTGGGTAGAGACCCTGCCTGGCACACACTGCCCAAGGACACTCCAGGGCAGCGTCCTATCCTGCTTCCCTGCTTTTTCCATATGCATGGGACACAAGTACCTTGAAAACCCTCTTGTCCTCACTGTGCCCTGACAAACCTCAAGGGAGCAGTAATTTGTGGGGAGAGAAACAAGAAAAGACAGCCTTGCCCAATTCCCACACACTGAAGGACAAATTACACTATGAATCTAGAAGCTGCAATCTGCCCTAAAAAGAAATACTTTATTTGGGTTATGACAACTTTCCTGTGAACCTGAACTGGTGGAAGATGTGTAGCTAAACGTTGCTCCATACTGCCTGCTACAACGTGTGGGTGCTCACTGTATTTAACTTTTTTTTTTTTTTTACACCCCACCCCAAGGCAGCGCAAGTACTTTCAAAGACTAAGCTCCTGGGGAAGGTAGCTGGGGGTCAAGTACTTCAAGTGCTTCAAAAAGCTCCCTCCGTAATACTACAATGGTAGCTTTAAAATTATTTTTTCTAATCACTGTATCACAGCCGACTCTCACCACAAGGCGGCCAGCCGGATGCAAATGTCAGGCCGTGGCACCAGCAAAGCAATGACTCTGGCATTACCAGTATTTTACTTCCTGTGTTTTTGTTTCACTTGAAAAATCATCACTGCCAAGACAGGTCTCCATTTGCCAAGTAAGCACGTCCTAGGACACGGACTGTGTAATTAAGCTGGACTTACGTCAAATACAAATGAGCACCTGAGACAGAGATGTACAAGGGCCTGATAAGATACATTCCCCTCTCGCTAATTAGTGCTGAAGATTCTCACAGAGGCAGGAGCAAGCGCTTTGAGAAACAGTGTCAATGTGAAGAGAGGAGCATTCCCCTCAGTGAGAGGGACAAACCCCTGGCCGTGCACGTGGACAAAAAGAACCGAGCCCCTGGGCACACCGGTGGGGGTTCCCACCCCCTCCATCCCCTCCATTCCCTTTGGGACACTTCCAATCCTTCCATTCCAGGCAAGTCCTTTGCACCGTGCGCCCAGCAGCCCCTCACCTTGCTTGACTGTGGAGGAGAGGCACAGCTTGCCAGCTTTGATCTGCTCTATGGCCATCTGCAGCCCCGAGGACAGCAGCTCCGCTACCTTCAGGTACAGCACGAGCTGCTCTGCATAGCTGGAAGGAAAGCACACGGGAATGCAAACGGATCGGTGCGACAGCGGTGTGTGTGTCCCAAAGGACTTCTGGTACCTCACCACTCATGCCCGGGGTGGGAGGGAGTCACAAAGACTCGGGAGCTGGGCGGCTCTCTCCTCGGTCCTCACCTCCACTCCCGGCTGAGGAGGCTGATCTGGTCGGCCACCACGCTCTCCTGGAGCTGGTACTCGGACGTCACGGAACTGCTCATCTCGCTGGAGCTGCCTTTGAGGGCGGCAATTTCCATCACGTAGTGGACAAAGGCCAGCGTGAAGCGGAGGCTGCGCAGGATGTCCGTGTGCTCCTGCTGTTGAAGGGATGCCAAGGCGGGGGTTACAGCGGGAAAGCTGGCACGCCACGGAGGGCTGCTCGCCTAGGGCTGGGCCAGCGACTCACCCCAGCCTACAGAAGTAACACCCGGGCCCCCAAAACCCCCCTACTCCTCTGCTTTGGGCTGGGACAGCCAAACTCAGCCCCGAGCCCACACACCACACCGGTTCCTCCTCCACAGGAACAGCAGCAAGTGACAGCCTCAGGCCAGAAACTTCCAGGCAGGGCTCTGGAGAAGGTGGTGAGACTTGCTCCAAAATTACACGCCCCCTTCCCAAGGAGGATCCCAGCTCTGAGGGACTCTCCCAGAAATCAGCCAGCAAGGGGGAAAGGCCACACGCACCATGGGCCCAGCTCTGGTCCCCACCACAGCAATGCTGGTACAAACCTGAAAGCGGGTGTGGATTTCACACGAGTGACAACCTCCTACGCCTCAGAGAACTGCAAACACGGTGTGTCCCACCCTACAGCCCAGCCATCACTTAGCCCTTGGTCTTTATATCCCCCCAGTTCAGGGCAGTGAGCCCTGGGTGAGGGCCTCTGAAGGGACAGCAAGGACACCCTTTTATCTGCAACTCCATGCGCTCAGTGAGCACACACATGACGTGCTATGTTCATTTCAAAGCAGTTTTTCCTCTGCTATTACGGATCAAAGGGGATTATCCCATTTCTGGGAAGCTGCATTGCTTAAGTCACTGAAAACATTTTTGGGAAGTTATTATTTGTGGAAAAACTGAATGTTTGTGGGTCCTAGAAAATGAACTGCTGCCCGGATGAGACACAACTCCATTGTTTGTACTCTCTGTAAAGAAGTGGCCATCCTGCTTGATCTCCAAATATTCAGTGACTCAGTTCTCTCAAAAGTGGGCTGGTAAGGATGTTTCCCTA